AGCTGGACCACAGGCAAGTGCCATCGTGCCTGGCTTTTTTTTTTCTGAGACACAGTCTTGCTCTGTCACTCAGAGTGGAGTGCAATGACGCGGTCTAGGCTCACTGCAGCCTCTGCCTCCCAGGTTCAAGTGATTCTCTTGCCTCTGCCTCCCGAGTAGCCGGGACTACAGGGACACACTGCCATGCTTGGATAATTTCTGTATTTTTAGTAGAGACAGGGTTTCACCATATTGGCCAGGCTGGTCTCAAACTCCTGACCTCAGGTGATCCACCCATCTCGGCCTCCTAAAGTGCTAGATGGCAGGTGTGAGCCACCGCACAGGGCCTGTTTTTGTATTTTTTATAGAGACAGGCTTTTGCCATGTTAACCAGGTTAGTCTCGAACTCCTGAACTTAAGCAATCTACCTGCCTTGGCCTCCCAACGTGCTGGGATTACAGGCATGAGGCACCATGCCCAGCCTCAATTCTGACAGTATCTACCTTGATATAGCATCAGGCCCCACAGACTGAGGGCTCACTCCCACGAAACAGCCCTCTCCCTTCCCACCAGTCACAAATCTGAGCCTCCAGAACTTCTGACTTGTTTCAACTTGGGCTTCCCACAACCCTCTCTTTGGGTTCATTTAATTTGCTAATGCAGCTTACAGAATCCAGGGAAACACATTTACTGGTTTATTATAAAGGATGTTACCAGGCAAGGGATGATGGCTCATGCCTGTAATCCCAGCACTTTGGGAGGCAAAGGCAGGCAGATTACTTGAGGTCAGGAGTTTGAGACCAGCCTGGCCAACAAGGCAAAACCTTGTCTCTATTAAAAATCCAAACATTAGTCGGGTGTGGTGGCTCACACCTGCAATCCCAGCTACTCAGGAGGCTGAGGCAGGAGAATCCCTTGAACCCAAGAGGCGGAACCTGCAGTAAGCTGAGATTTCACCACTGCACTCCAGCCTGGTCTACAGAGTGAGATTCTGTCTCAAAAAAAAAAAAAAAAAAGGATGTTACTGGCTCACACTTTGGGAGGCCAAGGCATGTGGATCACTTGAGGTCAGGAGTTCAAGACCAGCCTGGCCAACATGGTGAAAACCCTTCTCTACTAAAAATCCAAAAAGTAGCCGGGCATGGTGGTAGGCACCTGTAATCCCAGCACTTTGGAGGCTGAGGTGGGCAGATCACTTGAGATCAGGAGTTCGAGACCAGCCTGGCTAACATGGAGAAATTCTGTCTCTATTAAAAAATACAAAAATTAGCCAGGCGTGATGGCAAAGGAATCCTGGCTACTTGGGAGGTTAAGTCAGGACAATCACTTGAATATGGAAAGCAGAGGTTGCAGTGAGCCGAGACTGTGCCATTGCACTCCAACCTGGGTGACAGAGCGAGACTGTCTCAAAAATAAAAAATAAAAAAAATGTTACCAAGGATACAGATGAAGAGACGCATAGGGTGAGGTGTGGGGAAAGGGGCTCAGAACTTCCCTGCCCTTCTTGGGTGAGCCACCCTCCAGGAATCTCCCGTGTTCAGCTCTCTGGAAACTCCCTGAACCCTGTCCTCTTAGGCACTGGTTATGATGAATAACCACACAGAAATGCAACTTGACACAAAGATCTGGCCATGATCTAACAGACGAAGTGGAGAAACAGAGCAGGGCCTCCAATTCTTCATGCTCTCTGTGGCCCCTTCTTCCAGGGTACATGGCGGGATCTCCTCTGAAGCGGGGGGTATTGTGACCGGCAATCAAAGTAGGTCAGACAACATTCCTTCTCCCAGGGTATGGGGTAGAGCCCATTCTGAAATGGGAGTATTATCACCTACTGTCAGACAAGCTGTGTCACTGAATTTACCTTTTTTTTTTTTTTTGGGAGATGGAGTCTCACTCTTGTCGCCAGACTGGAGTGCAGTGGCGTGATCTCAGCTCACTGTAACCT